TATGCCGCGGCGCCGGCAGCCACAGCCACTCGGTCTTGGAAGGGTTGAGCCTGAGTCTGTTCCTCCCCATCCAGACCCTTACGGCCTCCAGGCAACGGGTCATCACGTCAAGGGCATCGTTGGGGTGGCCTGGGGTGGAGATGTACAGCTGAGTGTCATCAGCGTACTGATGGAAATCCACCCCAAAGCCACGGATGATTTATGAAGATATTGAAGAGTACTGGGCCTAAGTACTGGGCCTTATTAACCCATTGGTTCTTTTTCTTTTGTCTAGCTGATTGTAATGCCATTTTTAAAGGTCTACAGTCCATCTTCCAAAAGGAGGGAATGACAGAGACTGTTCATAACTGGGAAAATCATGGTTACCTAGCAACATATGTCAATAAAAATGGCTGGTAAGCTGAATTTTAATATACATGAGTTTTAAAGTATGTTATAATTATCAATTATTTAACAGTTTGTCAAGGTAATCTTTAAGAAGCTAAGTGAAAAGTATACTTAATTTTTATATTTTAAAAAATGTTAAGAGTTAATTTCTAACTCTTATGAAAAATAAAGAAAATGACATTTGTATTAATAAAATTAACACATGCTGCTGAAGCTTATTGTTAGGCAAGTTGTAACTTCTTGATGTTCTAAGTGTCTTAATGAAACTAATGGATGAAAATAATTATTTTTTTGGAGAAGGGTAGAATGTTACAGATATTACCAAACTGAGGGATGTCAGCCTAGAGACTATTTTTTAGTTGATAGATTTTTTTTAAAAAAAATGATGGTTCCATCCTATAACTCTATGCCCCTTATTCATAACAACTGATTCCCCTATTTTATCACAAATTACTGAACCTCTCACAGGTAACTAGCATATAATGGAGAATGTTAACAAATTAATTCAACAAAAGCAACAAGATTTGAAATTTGGATGAACAATATTTTTTTATTTATGCTGAAATGGTAACACAAAGGTTGACAAAAGATCTTTTTAAATTACTTCTTGATATTGTAGAAGGAAATATTCTGTAAGGTCTTGCCTCAGGTTATACTCCCAAGAAAGCAGAACTCTTGAAACTTGCATTGTTTCAAAAGGAACTTTTATTGAGAGATAGTGAAAACAGAAAAGCTAGGCAACATCTGAATAATTCCTCTGCGAAAAGTTACATTAAACCTCTCTTCAAAACCCCTCTCAGGTGCCCAACTGCCCGGTCCAAATCCAGCCAATCCATACTGTAGGTGTGAAGTTGTTACAGGAACTGAAAGTTGAAGGAGCGATAAAACTCTATTCACAGGTGTTGCATCCTCTTCTCAGTAGAGTAGAGATAAGGCAGATGGCCCAGGCACATTTCTCCCCCCTTTCACACCCAAAGAGATATATCAAAGGTTGAAAGAACAAAGCAAAAGAAACAGATCCCAAAACCTCCCCCCTCCCACCAGAATGGCAGTGCCCCAAAAATGATTTGAGGGTCCTGGCATGTCCCCCCCCCCTTAAAAGTAGGAGAATTCCACCTGGAGAAATATAATAAAATAGGAGAGAAAGAGAATTCACAGATTAATCAGTTTATCTAGTAATGTGCATTAAAATGTTTGAGTAACCTAGGGGCTCTAACATGTTTCTTGTGCACCCATTCATTCTGGCATAGTGGGACGTCTTTCCAGGTCACCAAATACTGGGTGGCTCCATGGTGTATGCATGAGTCTAGGATTTCCTTAATTTCAAAGTGTTGTTCACCCTCTACCATGATGGATTGTGGTGCTGGGGAAGTTACTGGGAGTAAAGGTGACATTATTTGAGGCTTTAGCAGACTGCAATGGAATACAGGGTGGATTTGCCTTAAGTCCTTGGTGAGGTCCAATTCCACTGTGACTGGGTTTATAATGTGTTTGATAGGGAAGGATCCCACAAATTTTGGCCCTAACGTTTTGGAGGGTTGAAGGGATTGCAGGAACCTAGTAGACAGATATACTCTGTCCCCAGTGTGGAATGGTTTAGGTTCCATTCTCTTTTTATCTGCTTGGGCCTTATAGGCTAGTGATGGCGAACCTTTTAGAGACCGAGTGCCCAAAAACTGCCCCACATCCGCACTGCCCCCGCTCCACCCCTGCCCCGCTTCCACCCACCCGCAGGGCCACCCACTACCTCCACGGTCCACTGCAGATTGCCTAGGCGGCCCAGCAGCACCATGGCAGCCACGCCCTCCATCCGTGCCACGCAGCATCATCTGTTTGTGACGGGGCGCAAGGGCGGACTCTTGTCCCCACTGCCCGGCTGCCATCTCCTTGGCTGCGCTGCTCCAGGCGGGCCGTGCCTGGGGACGGCTCTCTTCGGGGGGGATGCTGGTGTGGAGGGGGCCACAGGGGGAGGTGGGGCTGGGGTGACGGCACATGTGCCCACAGAGAGGGCTCCAAGTGCCGCTTCTGGCACTCGTGCCATAGGTTCGCCACCACTGTTATAGGCTGTTTTAGCCTCATTTAGAGCTTTTCTGACAACTGGCCAAGTATTTTGCAGTTGATTCATCCATTCCTTAAGGGAAAGGATGGTGGCTTCATTATTGGCAGTTCGGGCATTGGGTTGAATTCTTGTACTGTGGCCACTTGAAACGGGGGGAACACAGTGCTAGAGTGCAGAGCATTATTATAAGCCACTTCAGCGAATGGCAGGAGGTCAGTCCAGTTATCTTGCTGATAGTTGATAAAGCCTTGCAGATACTGTTCCAGTACCGAGTTTGTTCATTCTGTCCCACCATTCGTTTGAATATGATAACTAGAACTCAGGGCCTGGTCTGTTCCCAGGAGGTCCAAAAGTGCTCTCCAGAACTTAGAAGTAAATTGGACTCCTATGTCTGAAATTATGCAACGTGGGACCCCATGTAGACAGTAGACATGGTGGGGGAACATCTTTGCTACAGTCTTTGCTGTTGGGATCTTTTGACAAGAAATGAAATGGACCTGCTTTGAAAACAGGACGGTCACCACCTAAATAACAGTGTTTCCCACGCTTTCTGGCAAGTCTACAATAAAGTCTATAGAAATCTCTCTCCAGGGTGCTGAAAGGTTTGCAACTGGCTGCAGAAGGCCAGACGTTTTCGCCTGTCTTCGTTTTGCTGCTGCACATGTAGGGCAGCTGGTCACATAACTCTTGATGTCCTTTTTGATAGAAGGCCACAGAATTGTCTTTTTAAGAAGTGTAGGGTCTTTACAAACCCAAAGTGTCCTGCCACCTTTGAGTCACGGCAGGTCTGAATAGTCTTTAGTCTCTGGCTGGCTGGGATGTATAACTTCCCTCCTAACCCTGCCAGCCCCTACCTCATGGAGCAAAGATTCTTGTAACTAATGAACCATTTGTCTTTTTCCAGGTCTTGCTTAAAGGCCAGGATGATAGCGTTGTCTAATAGTGGAATGCTTTTTGATTGTGCCCTCATGGTTACTGGAGTTGCTAGTTGCTGCACCGGGAGTAGAGGCTTGTCTATTTTGGCCTTTACACTGTTGTATTGTGGCAGCCTGGATAGGGTGTCTGCCAGGAAGTCCCCCCCGGTAAATAGTAGAGAGTAAAATTGAAGCGCTGGAAGTGTTGGGTCCACCGTGTCTGCTTGAGGGACAGTTTCCTCAGATTTTCAATGCTTCTAGGGTTTTATGGTCAGTCCAAACCTGGAAAGGGATTTTGCTTCCTTCTAAAAAATGCCTCCAAGTGAGAAGGGCCCACCTCACTGCGTAGGTTTCCTTCTCCCACACTGCCCAGCATTGTTCGGTCTCAGTAATTTTTTTTTAAGTGTATGCACAGGGCTGCAATTGGCCTTTTTTGTTTTCCTGGAGCAATACTGCACCTACAACCACGTCGCTAGTGTCGGCCTGAATGACAAACGGTCTCTCTGGGTTTGGGTGCCTCAGGATTGGCTCCAGAGAAAAAAATGTTTTCAGTTTTTCGAATGCGGCTTGGCATTCCATAGTCCACTTTAGTGGCTGGCTAGGTTTTGGCTTATCTCCCCCCTTGAATTTTAATAAGTTCATAATGGGGAATACAATCTGCGCAAAGGAGGGAATGAACTGCCTATAGAAATTGGCGAAACCCAAGAAACTTTGCAGTTGCTTCCTGGTGCGTGGGGTTTTCCATTCTAAAACAGCGTGCATTTTCTCTGGGTCCATCTCCCCCCCTCATACAAGATCTGGTAGCCTAGGTAGCCAATCTTCTCTTTGTGGAATTCACACCTTGAAAGCTTGGCATATAGTTTGGCAGTGCGGAGTTTATTCAGGACCACTCTGACCAGTTTTATGTGCTCAGCTTTTGTCTCAGTGTATATTAATATATCATCCAGGTATACCAAAACTCACTTATATAGGGGCTCACATAGCACTTCATTTATCAGTTGCATAAATACCGGAGAGGCTCCTTGTAATCCCAAAGGGAGCACTTTAAATTGAAAGCAGCCCAGGGGGCAGTTAAAAGCAGTTTTCCATTTGTCTCCCTCTCTAATTCTGACTCTGTAATAAGTCTCCCGTAAGTGCAGTTTAGAAAATACTTGGCCAGCATGTCCTTCATGAGGGGCAAGGGGTACACATTCTCCATGCACACCACATTCAGACCTCTGTAATCCACACAGAGATGAAGAGACCCATCTTTCTTCTCCCGGAACAACACCAGGGCTGCTACCCGAGGTCTAGCCAGCTGGATGAAATCCCAAGTTAAGTTTTTATCTATGAACTGGCATAGTTTGTCTAACTCCCTGGGAGTCATGGAGTACAGTTTAGGCTTTGGAAGTTTAGCTGTGGGGACAGTCTTGATGGGACAGTCTGGGCCAGTGAGGAGGGAGTTAGTCTGAACCCCTCTCGCTGAATATTTCAGCCAAATCGTGGTATTCCTTAGGTATGCCTCTCAGCGACTCGCTCTTTGTAACTGCTGCCATTTCTCATGTCTCTGTTTTCTGTTACGATTGCTAGGCGGGGCTTTCTATTCCCATGGGAACCTTAACCGCCTGTCCTGCCAGTTCATCCGCAGGTCCCATTTTTTCAGCCACGCCAGTCCTAGGAGGAGCGGCCATTCCATGCCAGCTGCCACTATAAAGGTTAAAGTCTCCGAGTGGCTCCCCATGGTTAAATCCAGTGGTTTAGTGGCAAAGGTGGCTGGGATGCCTCCAGCGGTGGGCCCGTCTAGCTGACAGAATAGGTTCTTTAATCTCCTTAGACAAACCCCCAGTTTTCCCACTAGGGTGGGGCTTATTAAGTGTCTGGTGCACCCCGAGTCTAGTAGGGCCTTTATGGCTACTTTTGTTCCCATGCCTGGAATTACCGGGGGGTCATCATCGTAGTCGCTGTTGGATGTCCCTGACTCTTTCTCCGTTGGGGTCGGGGTTCCCCCTTCCGATTTTGGGGAGGGACGTAACTCTATGACCTTTGCACTCTTCAGGGCTGTGTCCTTAGGGTGTTGGAAAGGTTTGGTCAGTTTTTCCTCTGAGGGTTGATCTGTCTTCTTTGTGGGGGTCTTCGAACAGCATTCCACAGCCCTGTGGCCTTCCTTGCCACATTTGAAGCAGGCAGTTGAGTGTAATGGTGCTGATAAAGGTCTTGTTCCCTCCCTCTTTCCCTCTGGCAGGGATCATGTCCATACTCTGCCTGAGCGGTGCTGGTTCCGGGCTTAGTCAATCTCTGCTTCTTCAGCTAAGATGCACCAGTCGAGGCAGGCAGAGGCTCCTCGGCAATGCAGGCATGGTATAGGTTGTCGTTAAGCCCATCTTTTAAACAGTTCACCAGGATGTCTTCCAGCCAGTTGAGGCGGCAGACTAAGTCCCAAATTTCTTTGGTGTATTCGGTTAACGAACAGCAGTCTTGTCTCACCGTCTTAATGCAGTCTCACATCTTTTGATCAGTCAGGAGGTCTTCGATATGCCACCTCAGCCCTGCCATGAAACGGTTGAAGTTCCAGAGCTCTGGAGCATCAGCGTTGTGCAGGGTCACCATCCATCTGGCAACAGCACCTTCCAGGGCTAGGGTGACAATTCTGACCCTGGCTCCCTCACTGGGGAGTTCTCGCCCGTATTCCTGCATGTACTTGAGGACATGAGCGAGGAAGAACCCCAACTGTTGAGGGTCCCCATTGAACTTGACACCCAGGGAGGTGTCTTCTGCTCTGGCCATGGGGCTCCCCTTCTGCTGCCCCCCTGGGTATTTACCCCGACTGGGACGACCCAAGGTTGGGTAGCTAGGGCAGTGGTTGCCCTTTCTATATAAGCTGTGGCATTGGCTGAGGTTTCTGGGATGAGTTCCTCCGCTGGTTCCTCGCTCTTTCTCCCCACAGCCACCGGCTTCTTGCACCTTCAGGTTCTGGAAGACTTCCACCATGAAGTGTATGGAGTGTTTCAGGAGTTGTTTGGCTGAGCTCGGCTCTTTGCCTGGTTTGTCATCGGTGTAGAGTAGCTCCATCTCGCTCTTCCAGCCCGGCATCCGACTACCATAGGTGCTGGGTCCTCCCTTCCCAATCCTCCCTTTTTCCCCACGCCCATTTGGGCCTCTGGGGATCTTCCATGGCGGTGGCTTCCTCCATCCACTTGGAGGGGATATCCTCAGGGTGAGTCTTTGTGAAGGTCTCTGCCCAGCACTCAGACTCCTCCTGCTCGTTGCCATGGTGAGACATCATGTGCACCGGTTGACCACTTTGCAGATCTTGCCTAATGTAAGATCCTGCGTCAGCTAATACTCCCAAGAAAGCAGAACTCCTGAAACTGTTCCCCCAGGTATTGCATCCTCTTCTCAGCGGAGCAGAGATAAGGCAGATGTCCCCTCTTTCACATCCAAAGAGATACATCAAAAGTTGAGAGAACAAAGGAAAAGAAACACATCACAGAACCCACGCGTCCCCCCTCCCAACAGAATGGCAGCGCCCCGAAAATGATTTGAGGGGACTGACATGATTCTGATTCTTGGAGATCTGAATATTATTTTCTCCAAACGTAAGCAGATCTGTATCTAAAAGGAACTCTGGGAAAGTCTTCAAAAATGTCCTATATGAAATATTTTTGATTCATAACAATACAAATAACCTGGAAAAAAACCAAAAATCTGTACTTTCTTTTGAGTTCATGAAATTTGGAAACCATTTTTGGATTATAACAATGTACATTGGTTTGTATCACATCCAAAATTTATGTTACAATTAACATTAAGTTAAATATTTACGTTTTTATCTTTGGACAGTTTTTATTTTTTATGATTGCAAGCCATCCAGAGTTACCTAAGGCAAGATGGGTGGCCAATAAGTTTTATTTATAGGTAGGTAGGTAGGTAGATAGAGTTTGAAATTGCAATTCTTTTTTATGAATTATACTGCATTATTGTTGTTGATTTCTTAGATTTTAACAGTTTAAAACAATATAAGTAGTCCTCGACTTACAACAGTTCATTTAGTGGCTGTTTAAAGTTACAATGGCACTGAAAAAAGTAACTTATGACCATTTTTCACACTTACAACCTTTGTAGCATCCCCATGATCACATGATCAAAATTCAAATGATTGGCAACAGGTTCAGATTTATGACACTTGCTGTGTCCCCAGATCATGTGATCATCTTTTATGACCTCTGATAAGCAAAGTCAATGGGGAAGCCGAATTCCCTTAACAACTGGGTTACTAACTTATCAACTGCAGTGATTCACTTAACAATTATGGCAAGAAAAGTCATAAAATGGGACAAAACTCACTTAACAAATATCTCATTGAACAACAGAAATGTTGTGCCCAATTGTCATAAGTCAAGGACTACCTGTATTTAAAACTAAACAAAATATAATTTTTTTGACAAAATTCACAATGTTTTAAATATTTCTGTGGCATGGATATGTTGATATTCTTGAATTGATACAATACAACTACTGTAGAAACCCTTGCATTTCTAATTTTGATAGATTAAGGCGTGTATATTTATATAATTAAAATGATTTTAATTAGTGTTATAGATAAATGAACTATAGAGAGTACGAAGAGGCTAACAACAGTAAAGTAAAATAAAACAAAGTGCAAAATACAAAAATAAGTTAGCAGTTAAATCAGTTACATCACCAATAATGAAATTAGCGCTGAGCATTTCAAATAAAACACCATTTTGTTTATATTCCCAGAGCCCTACTACACTGGTTTTAGCCATGTGACAGAAAAACAGATAATAACGCCCCCCCCCCCCCGGAGAATTCCAGAACAATCTCTGTGTTCTATGTTAAGTATGTTTCTGGAGACACCAAATGCATAAGAGATCCTTTGTTCTTATCAGCAATGAAAAGTTGTGTAGGAGTGATCTAAAGCTGTGAATAATTTTAAGAACATCATGGGCCCAGAAAGAAATAATAGGAACTTAAATAGGAACTATGGGTATTCTGGCCCAGATGTTTTCAAAGATCAATGTATGTCCTGTTTTAGTTTGAAGGATTGATTGATTGATTGATTGATTGACTGTTTGGATTTAAAAGGCCACTAAACAAAAACAATATGTTCTCGCAGCGTACAACAAAAAGAATATTTAATGTGTTGTTAAATATTTGATTTAATCACCCACTATATAAAATGGTGATTGAACACAGTAATTAATCAAAACAATTGGTTGAAGTATAGTCAAGCACTGGAGGAAAAGTGACATTTTATTTTCAAAGACCCCTATTGCTCCCTGCAGCTTAACATATAAAAGCTAGCTCTTTTTGGAGCACTGATAACAATTTAATCCCAATATGTGATATATAGATTCTTTAGATATTTATTAAAACTATGTTTTGAAAGTTCAGAAATACTAAGATTAAGAGTCTAGCAAACAAAAAAAGGCAGTAATATACCCAGATGGCCATCTTTGAGCAAAAACTCAAAGAATACTTGATCCAGAAGAACAAGTAACAGTTTTGATGGTAGCAATTTCTCAATTGTTGCAGAAGGAATAATTATTTAAAATAAAGAGGAACTTTTACCAATCTGATGTCCTCCAGGTGACAACTTTGGCCAAGTTGTTTGAGAACTTGAAGAGTTGGCTCTGTCTCTTAAAAAAAGAAGGGAATATTTTTTTTTAATTAGAACACTATCTTGCTGTGCAGATGTATTCTTTAGCATATATAAAGTTTTATGAGCTAAAACTAAGTCTTATTAGGATTTTATTTAGTAAAATTCTGGCTTTACTCTACACATTATTTCTTTTTATTATCTAGCTTTGCGAATCTGAGAATTTATCCTCATGGTTTGGTTTTGGTCGATGTACAGAGTTGCAATGATTTGAATGAGAGAGAAGAAATAGAACAGGTGGGTAAGCTATTCATTTTTATTAATAAATATTTTTTATTAAAAGAGGAAATAAAAATATGTTTATACAATTTTAGCTGAGCTTTTCCCTTCATTTGTCATACATGTATCATGTTTACAATGATAAATTGTAAATTGAAGCATGTGAAGTCTTTTAGGAGAGCCAGTTTGGAGTAGTGGTTAAACAGCAGGCTTGGCTAATGCATCAGACCGTGAGTTCTAGTTCCGCCTTAGCTATCTGGGTAGCCTTTCGCCAGTCACTGTTTCTCAGCCCTAGGAAGCAAGCAATGGCAAACCACTTCTGAAAAACCTTGCTAAGAACAGGAACTTTTCCAAGCAGTTGCTAGAAGTCAGTGCTGACTTAAAGCCACCAAAAAAAAAAAACCCGCTCCAAGAAACAAAAGTGAGAGTTTAGATTTTAATTATTAAACTCAAATCCTTCTAGCCATAAACCTTATCTGACTTGGTTTTCATGCAAAGGGTAATCATATAAAAATTTAAAAGTATCTATAAGTTGTTGGTCAATTTAGTTTTGACAGCATTTCCTTCTTTCCTGCCTTTAATATTTTTGGCTTAATGTACATTCTTTTCTGTGTTCTTTATAACATTGTTTATACCCAAAGAGAGTAATGGAATGATGGGTGAATAAGTAGGTAGGTACCTAGGAGGATTATAGGTATATAGCATATCAAAGTGGTTATAGTTTTCTTTTAGTATTTGGATGGTGCGTATTTCTGAATATCTGTTGCTAAAAGAGACCAGCAAGGAAGAGTTACTAAGTTTGAGTTTTCTTGGTCATTTGAGTGGCTACTGTGTGAAAAAAATGCTAAACAAAATAGTCTTTTACTATGATACATATTTTTTTAACCTTTTATTTTAATTTAAAAAAACATTATTGAGAAACATTAAGGAACAATAAGGAAATCAAAAAGAAGAGAGATTAAAAACATACAAATGAATAAATGGAATTTACAGATATAGAAATTAAAGTTTTTCAAAAGTTCATTGATTAACTAAGTATATTACATCATTTTAAAATACTAAAATCAGTATTGATCTCTAAACAATGTAATATCAGAAATGGTTATTAAAAATTTAAGTTATATGCAACTGAAATGTTAAGACTTATGTAAAGAGAAATTTACACTGAACATAGTTCAGTTCTCATATAAAATTATAGTCTGGATATAGTCTCCAAATCAAGTTAAATTTGATTTGGTTAAATTTGATTTTTAAGCCTGTTTCATGGCCTTTTAAGAATGAAGTTGAAAATGGTATAAATAATGGAACCTAATTAGATGAGTTATAAAGAAAGATGAGTTTAGTCTTGCTATTACTCCAGCAGAAAAACCCAAGAGTTACTCAGATAATTTTATGGATTTGCCTAAACATTTAGTATCAGTTTAGTTCGATTTCAGTTCATTACAACCAATACCTAGCAAATATGTAAAAAGAAAGAGACAAAAACAACAAGTAAACATAAGCAGATGCAATAATCAGGCTTATTTCACGGAATCTCCTTCCATAAAATTGCAGTTAGATAACAAGCCTTTATAATATTATGTATTACATAAAAGACCTTGTCAACAGGAAGAAAATCAATATAAGTCATTTGAATGGCCAGAATTGTTGCTAAAAAGGGAAAATAAAATACTAGAGTGATGATAGTAAAAGTACAAGACTAAGACAATGCATCACCATTTAATTAAGAAATTTATTGGATAACTGGCCAGTCACCTATCTCAAAAAATGATTGTGGGAAAAATTGGAATATAAATCAAATAAATAATCCAAACTATTACTAACGTGTTTTTAATTTGTTTACTGAAAACTTGGTTTCATTGAACCACAGCGGACAAAATTTCAGCTTTGCTTCAGGATGCATATAAAAATCAGTATTTGAAGTAATGTTCAAGAAGATGTTTATGTTAATTGTTTTGGGACTTGAACATAAGCTATACAGAATCGATTGAATAATAAAAATGATCCATATATTTATAATAACAGTGGTATCAAATTCTTAAGTTTAATATGTTTTTACTGTTGTTTATACACATATATGTTTTCCTGCAGCTTCTAAATAAAGTAGAAGAAAAAATGAAAGAACTCTTTCATAAAAGTATCAAAAGGATAAAACGGTAAGGAAGTTTGTGCTTTCATACATCTCTTAAATATGAGTAACAATGAAGGACATGACTGAATAAATTTGAAATCAAAGCAATAGTTAAACTATTTCCTATATTAAATACAGTATAGATCTTTTATGTAGTGCTAACATTATTTTGTTAGCTAATATTGGAGGGCAGACTTCTAAGATGATAGTTATTTCCATGTATTTAAATTAAGGGAAAGCAACCAAAACATTTTATAATAATTTTTATTAAAGTTTACAAATAAAAAACTAATACAAACTAAGAAAATGTTAAAGGTAAAACTTAAAAAAATTAAAAATGCAAAGAAAAAGAAAATAAATCAATATGTATATAAAGAAATAACTCGCCCCTCTCTCATAACAAATACAACTTCAGTAACTTATCACCTTCTCTAATATTTCAATAAAATATCTATTACGTACAGTTGCAAGAAAAAGTATGTGAACCCCTTGGGATAACGCGGAGTTTTGCATGAATTGGTCATAAAATGTGCTCTGAATGTCATCTAAGTCACAACAATAGAAAAACACAGTCTGCTGAAAATAATAATACACAAACATTACATGTTGCCATGGTTTAATTGAACATAACATGTAAACATTCACAGTGCAGGGAGGAAAAAGTATGTGAACC